ACCAAATAGAAAAGATGAACCATTAAACTGATAAGTGATAATCAGGATTTTGTGTATTTTCTACAGGAATCAGTTTATTGGTTCATCTTTTGTATTTGGTATCTCTGATAAATTTACTATTCAATTTTTGAATTTAAAAAAATAGAAATTGTAAATCTGAAGAAATCCAGTTATTATATTCTCTCTCTCTCTGTCTTAAAATTCCAAACTCACTTATCTCCACTCTGCAGAACTGTAAATTAAGATAATAATAATACACTGTGAGACTTAAGTTTAAATGTCACAATGGAAATGCTTGTATAACTTTAAGATGTGCTTTAATTTAACTTAAAAATAGGTGGAAATGCAAAAGTGACTGAGAAAGTTGTTGTAGAACATAAACTCAATTTGGGTGATTTGCAGACTTTTGCTAGTCGTTTGTATGGTGTGATGGCTTGGATAATTCCTGTCTTCGTTGCCCTGTCAACTTTTGGTGGAGTAAATGGTATTCTCTTTACTTCTTCTCGGTGAGTTTAATATTTATCTTTCTGCTCCTTAAACATAGTGTTGTGATCCAGTTAACAGTTTTTCCTGTTTAATTTTAAATTCTATTTTATTTATCTTTAATATTGGCTAATATTTTTCCTCTTCTCAAGGAAGATGATGAAAATTATCCCAGTAATTACAGACCTATTAGTCTTACACCAGTGGTGGGAAAAGTTTTGGAAAGTCTGATAAAAGATGCTTTGCAAAATCATTTAACAAAGTTTAGAATTTTATTGGATAGTCAACATGGTTTCACTAAGGGAAAATCTTGCCTTACAAATCTTTTGACATTCTTTGAAAAGGTTACTGCTTATGTAGATGAGAGTAAGAGTGTAGATTTGGTGTATCTGGATTTTCAGAAAGCATTTGACAAGGTGCCAAATAAAAGATTTGTTAAAAAGTTATCTCTGTAGGTGTGGGGGATAGGTTGGCTCATTGGTTAAAAAAAAGGGTTGTTATGAATGGAGTTTGTTCAGACTGGATTGATGTCATAAGTGGGTTACCTCAGGGCTCAGTGTTTAGGACCTATGATCTTTTTGATTTACATCAGTGACATAGATGAAGGAATTGTCAATAAATTATTTAAATTTGCTGATGACATTAATGTTTTGGGTGTTGCTGAATGTGATGAGGATGCTACTACCTTACCGAGGGATTTGAATTATTTGGGGAGTTGGGAAAATAAACAGCTGATGACTCTTGATTATAACAAATGCAAGATAATGCATGTGGGATATCACAATTTCAATTATGAGTATAATTTTAATGGGAATAACCTTAACAGTGTTATGGAAGAGAAAGATTTTGGTGTTCTGATTGATCAGTTGTTTAAACCATTCAAGCAATATAGTGTTACTAATGGTAGAACAAATAGGATTTTAAGTTTTATCTACAGAAATATTGAACACAAGTCTAAACAAGTTATAATGTCATTGATTAAGCCACTTTTGGAGTATTGTTTAGTCTGGGGTTTCTTATCTTAGAAAGGACATTGGATTGTTGGAAATGTTCAGAGGAGGGCTACTAGAATGGTAAGGTTGTTATATGAGGATAGGCTAAAATATCTGAAATTGTTTTCTCTCAAAAAAAAAGAAGAGGGGATTGAGTAAAAGTCAGAGGTACAGCTTTTGAGTGGATTATTTATTTTGTTTTTTGTTTAACTTTAATACAATTTTTCAGCCACTCTTGAGGCCATCATCACGTAACTGTCAGGTAATTGTGCAATATTTTGCACAGTAGATTACATTTCATGCAATGAAGCTTTATAATGCTTGGTTTAAATTTTAAATATATACAGAGATTTCTAATCTTTTTATTTTGACAGAGCATTTGAAGTTATTCAGGTTTTTATACTCAATAAATAACCCACAGTGTCAATCTGAAAGAACATTATTTCTTTTAGTTTATTTTATGCTGGTGCCTCATTTGGTCAGATGCCAGAAGTTCTGTCAATGATTCAGGTTAAACACTTGACTCCTGCACCAGCTGTGATGTTCATGGTAAGTTCTGAATATTTAAACTTAAGAGTATTACTAATACACTTGAAAATTATTTCTTTAATTTTATTTGTTTAACTGAGTATGATGAAGTATTGCACTTGACTGCAGATATATTGAAGTGCATCTAAGTTTGTTACACGTGTATTATTTGTACTGTATGAATAGTGAGATACACTTCACAAATTAGACTTATTTCCACATGTTGATGCAAGGTTGTGTTTCTTCTATATATGTGTCATAATGTGTGAATTAATGTATGTTAGGAATACATCTAAGCTAGCAGGTGTATTGTACAATGGTTGGAACTGATCAGGAATTCAAATATAATGCCACCTCTTAAATAATGCTTTTTATATTTGAAAACATTGAGCCATTGTCAAAGAAAAAAATGTTTCAAAAATACAAAAAAATTGTAAATGTATTAATGTAAATTTGTGATGAGTTCAGATCAGTGACCATGGTACACTGTCTGCATGTTGACAAAATCTGTGTTATATGTAAAATTGATCAAGATTTTATGATGATGATTATATGTACGTCTTGATTGTGAAGATTTGGTGATTTTCTTTATTGATAATATTTTATGGTGACAGCTGTGCCAAAATAGATGCTCATAAATCTTTATTTCCATAACAGTCATTAGAGGGTAATGAAATTAACAGATTTGACAACACCCATATGTGTGAGACATAAACATTAAAGATCACAGTAAACATATTTTTAAGATTACTTCATAGTATTAATTTGTCTTTTTACTCATCTTGAACAGTATTGCTTGGAATGAAATTATCATAAACATTGCTTTTATAAAAACAACTACTAATATGCAAAATAATTAGCAAGAGAATGCATAAACATTAATTTGTAATTGCAAGCTAGCTTATTTCATCTCAGAATATAATTGTGGTATTTGGCAAATGATCTATTACTCAATTTTTATACTGACATATTGCTAGAGCAAGTATTAGCTACTTCATGTGATAACCCAATCATTTGCTGTCTATCAGAAATTACAAATACAGTTTTCAAGACACTGTCAACAGTAATATTTCATTAATTTTTTGTCTTTGTAATGTAAGTAACTAAGTAAATACACTTAGTTACTCAACTACTTAACTGTAAAGCTCAAATGTAATTTCAAAAGCATATCACCATTGTCTTTAATAAATTGAGAATTGCTAAACTCCTTAATAAAATCCACAATAAAATCCTTTTTAAGATAAAACATTGGAGAAATTTCAGTCTCAACTGTTGTTTTTTTATCTGTTTTGTCTCAACAGTAGAAGTACATACAGACAAAAATAATTAATAATTTTAATACTTTTTTTTTCTCGTATGAATTTTGTACTTAATACTGTAATGAAAATAAATATGCTTGAACTTCCTGTGTCATTTTAGTCTTAAATATTTAAAAAGAATAATATGAAAAGAAATGGAAGCTTTTATTAACTTATACTTTGGTGACAATTTTTTCTGTTTGTTTTTTTAAATCATAATTGGTAATGTACTTAAACCTATTCTAACTTAATTTGAATTAAGTGTGGCTTAGTGGTTAGCATGCTGGACTCTTCAGTCAGACTAAAATATCCCAAGTGATGGTGGTGGATACTTTTTTTCTAGTCTATCACTTCAAAATTAGGAATGGCTAGCTTTTCATAAGTATCTGAAAACAAACAAATCCAATATCAAATTAAAATTAAAAGCAGGAATAAAAAAATATTTAGAAAATAAACTGTGTTGAAATATTACTCATTAAATCCCCATTCTTTTGTCCTAGTTTTTAGCCATAAAAGGTTTTAATGAAATATGTATTATTATAAAAACTAGTATTCAGAGCATATTTGACAAAAAGTTGACAGTCTTCAGTTAGTATCAAGTCGTCAAGAAATTAATGTAACGTTTTGGAACACTTTCATCATTTCCAACATGTGAACATTGCTTTGTCTCTTCTGGCACATAATGTGCGTGAACCATTTTTGGATAGAATTCTCATCAGTAATGAAAAATGGATTCTAAATTCAAATATTAAACACCAAAAACAATGACTCAGTCCTAGACAAAAACCACTTCCAACCCCAAAACCTGGACTCCTTCCGCAGAAAGTGATGCTTTGCATTTGGTGGGACAGCAAAG